TGTTTACTTGTTATCCCGCAGCTTTCAGCGTGAGACATCTCTGGGTAAAAGGGGAAACCCCAGAACGTGGCCAAAAAGAAGGTAAATCCATATTTTTTGGCAAACGGTAAATCTCCCCGCCTACGCATTTGAACGGAGAATTTAGCAAAACCAAGGAGAGGTGCAAATCTCTCCAAGGGTACTGAAAGGTACTGTAACTAAATTTGTTTGACTTTATGCGATTTGTGGAATATATATATTGACAAGGAAGAAGACGATGGTCCATCTGCTAAAACTGTTGCTCTTTTTTATAGTTCCGAAGATTATCTATCGCCCTTTCATCAATTATCCGAACGGAATACGTGTCACGGAAGGAATGAAACAAAAAACCAATGAGTCTTTTTCCAGGCTTAATTATTAATTAGGATAAAAATATATACGGTGATCCTGTTGATTCCTCGCGAGAAGAGTAAAAGACAAAAAATATGGAATATGGAAAGTATTGTAAAAACCAAACCACCATAAATCGCAATCGTTCAAAGACAGCCGTGAAAGTCACAGAAACCGATACGTGCATCTATCATACTTAAGTAGATGACATAAGAATTATTAGTGACTGACACTACTGTTTTATTCTTTGTTTGTTTTTTTTGGGCAGAAATGAAAACTGATTTCTGGATATATATCAGATAATACTTTTTGGACCATTGCTTGAATTTGAAGTAATGATGGTATTTATTGAATATAAAATTATATATTATTTTGAAAATTGACCTGATTTTTAAAGTTGTAATCTGTTTTTAAAAATCTCGTAAGGGTTAATCCAATTAATAAAAAGAAAATTTCTTTCTTTTTTTTTTATCAATTAAAGTTTGATTCTAGTGAAAAGTATTTTAAAAATAAAATTTTGAATGTATAATTTATTATTTCAAATTGAGAGAAATGAGTTTTTTAAATTATTCAAAAAAAATTAAATCAAGATAAAATTTGAAATATCTTTAACCATATTATTATTTGCTTTAGTAAAAAAACTTAAAAAGAATTAAGATAAAAAATTTATAAATACTAAAAATAAAAAGTTATAGAACTTTAATTTTTATAAAAAATTTAAAATTTAATAAAAATTAATATATAACAAATTTTTTAGAATAGAAAAAGTATTAAAAAAAAAAAAAACACTCACTGTGATTTTTGGGCTTGGCCTATCAACAATTTAACATTCAACAAAAGCTGTATAAAATAATTTACTGCATAAAATTTGGGCCCACGACTAAGTATTACACCGGAAGATGGATCCACATACAACCTTTTTTATTTTTCTCTAATAATAACGATAATAATAATAATAATTCATCTTTTTCAATGACACATTATTTATTCATTTATTGATAAATTAACATTTTTTTTTCTAAAATGTACTTACCCAATTGTCCCTCTTGAAGTCCCCTAGTAAGGGCATGGACAACGGACCAAAGCGGGCTATGTTTTTTGTACCTTATTAGGCTCATAGCACTAGACCTTGGGCTTCACTCTTTTCTCCTATGGAGTAGTGAAGTGAAATTGCAAACACTCCCACTTCGAAGCTTCACAACAAAAAAGACAGGTCCATTTAAAAGTTTCCATTCCTTCCAAGCCGTTCGCTTGTTTTATCATTGTCTCTTGAACAACTTCTGTTTTGGGTTGCCATGATTTGATGCCTACCAACTATTACAACTGTTTAAATGTTTCTTTTGAAATGATTTAATATATGCTTAACCAAAATTGTTTAACTTGAAAATTTAAATTTAGTTTAGCATTGCTGATGAAAGTAGTTTTTTCATTTAAAAGTTACTTTTGACTCAACCTTAATGTTAAATGACAAAAAAAAAAAAAAGAAACATTGTGCAGCATGTGAATTCATCAAATCCCCTCTATTATATCGAAAGGCTAATCTACCATTTGACTTATCTATTCTTGGAAAGCAAAGATTGCTTGATGAAGGTTATTTAGGACCCTAGATGCCTACTCTTATTTTCTTTTAATTATTATTTTTTTTTTTGGCTTTCATTTGGACTTTTTCCGAATTGGTTTAGAGATAGAGGCCAAAGGTTAAAAAATTTGTGATCAGAGCAATATAATGTTTAATCTAATCAAATACTAAATCGTCAGTGATGGGCAGAAGCCTTAAATTTGAGTGCTATTAGGATGGGGCAATGACATGTGGTTCAACTTTTTCTATTTAGCAAGGAAGAAAAACCATTTTTAATGTTATTCGTCGTTTAATTAGAGGACACATGCATGTGCCTAGGATATTTTGCATTTACATTGTTGTCTTGTAGCATGGTTTTGCCTTTGGGTCGTCATTTTGCAAAGCTGGCTAAAAGTAGTATAAAGGACTATGTTCCATTTTTTTATTTTTGGGGCGGTGCGAAAGATTATGTTCCAGTTTGACTACTCTTTACAACTGTTTTCCACATTTCACATTTTTAAGATTATTGGACAATTATCCAATCACATTCTAAAATTATATAGGGATTCACTTGGGAATTCCACGTAATATTTTATTAAATTTTACATAATTTTAAATTTTAATTAATTAATTATAATGCAATTATTATGAATGAGATGCTCTTGAAATGCATAGGCAGGGTAAGGATTAATAAGACAGTTTGCCACTGGCCAGTTTTAGATGGAAAAGCAAAGATGTGGCATAGCTTTCTCATTTTGAATAAGGTTGAGAACTATCCCATCCCTGGCATTTTTGGCTATAGCTCATGGTGGATGCCAGAATATTTTGAGTGGAAGGCCATTTTTCTTGGGGCAATTTGAAAGCTGTGGAAAGAGGATTCTAGGTTCATGAATCGATGGTTTATGGATTTACGTTCTATGGAGTAAAATCACTCAAAGGTTAGGTTAATGCATGCTCATCAACTCCCAAAGGGATGCTAATAGAGTTGCTAGTGGTTTGGCAAGTGAAGCACTTTCGCTTGATGCTATTGCTGGATTGACCGATGTACCACCAATCTGATGGCTCTTGCGCAACAGGACAATGGCGGCTGGTTTCTTGTGCTTGAACAGGAAATTAAAGACGGAACAGAATCATATATGTCAAGGAGAAAGCACGGAGTTCAAATGAGAAAATCCTAGACTCATAATAATACTCGATGAGATTGGATTGCTCATTGTCCTAAACACCCTTCCAACTGGTTTGGTTCTCACAGTTCTCCATGAAATCTCTGCTGCTCTTCGGTTCCATTTGGTCGGGGTGAAAAATTACTTTCAAAAGATAATTTTTGTATTTTTTAATCTTTGTTTAATAGAAAATTAATTGGTCAATATTTATTAGTCAATAAAAAATGAGATCACTTTTTTAAAAATTGTTTTCTCTTTTTCTAAAACAAAAAACATTTAAAAAAAAAACTATATATGAGTTAAATTATTTATTAAATTTGTGATCATAATTCTACTCTAGCGTAATTTTAGACATGATTTTTAAATTCAAACTTAATTTAACATGTTGGCTATCTCTTAAATTCGTTGGCATATTATTAAAATTGACATTTAGAGATTATAATTCGAAAGAATTTACACACATAATATTCTTTTTTGTCAAATACATGATAAGGTAAGAGAGGTTTAAGGATAGATTATAAATTAAAAAAAAAATTGACATGACTCTAAATATTTCTATATTAATAAACAAAATTATTATTTAATTTTACTTTAAAAAATTTTCTAATATTTTAGTTTAAAATATTTTATAATTTTATTTAAGTCAAGCATTAAACATGATATTTAAACTTGAGTTTGATTTGATACGACTCAAAATATTATTATATTAAAAATATTTTTATTTTATTTTAATTAAAAAATAAAATATTAATATTAATAGTCTTTTGATATTAAATATAAATATTTTAATATTTTACTATTTTAATAATAAATAATAAAATATTATTTTAATAATAAATATTGATATAGTAAATAATATTTTTATTATTTTAATAATATGAATAGTTTTAATCTTATTTTAATATTTTTAATTTAAAATATTTATTTTTATATTTTATTGACCAATTCATTTATATTACTATTTTAATAATAAATATAAATAAATAGTATTTTTATAATGATTTAATAATAGATAGTTACAATATATAATATAATTATTTTAGTAGTATAACTATTTTTAATGTTTTCGTATTAAATATTATCATTTTAATATTATTGTATTAATAAAAACAATATTTTAATAATGTAGTACAATTTTAAATATTAATATAATCATTAATAAATAAATTTGTTTTCAGTGTTTAATATTAATATAATATTTTAATATAAAATATTATCATTAAAATAAAATTATTTTTTAATATTATTAAATATAATAATAAATAATTTCAATATATTTTATGGGAAAAGATCAAATTATATTAAAAACATTTTACATCTCTTTAATTATCGAATTCAATAAATTCAAAAAATGAAAGAGAAAAGTAAAAAAATAAAATTGATTTAACCCTATCCCTTAAATCTATTTAAATTAATAATTAAAAAAATAAAACTAAAAAATTTTTACAATGATATAAGTTAATTCCTTATTATATTTTATTATTTAATAGTTATATCAACATTATTTTAAAAAAATAAATTAAAAAAATCAAACAATAAAAGATATTTTTCATTAAACTCAAACAACGTAAAATCTTTATTTTTCTAAAAAAAAATTACATTTTTAAAAATCAATTTACATGCAACAAATCCAGCCTTCCACTAGAATTATCTTTGTTATATATTATGCATGTATTCTACTAAAATAATTAAATATATTTTCCTTTTTCTTCAAACTTTGCCATCCCTCGACTCGACATGTATTTTGGGCTTCCTGTCCATGGGTTGTTTTTATTCAAATCAAGTCCTTTAGGCAGGAGGTGGCCTAGGCTACCTTAGTTTTATTCCCTTCTTTGGGCTGGATGTGGCCTGGGTAGTTCCAAGGCAACGGCAGTCGTAATGGCTAATTAATTGCAATATACAATCGTCAATAAAAAACAAAGGGCAACTGCAACAGTTCAAACTCCATTTACAAGTCCATGATGCAACATGTAATTGGTTCTTAGAGCTTCGAAATCCACACATCGCTAATTTCATTCTCCCAAAACCTCAAGGTTTAAATTTCAAATTTCTTCAAAAAAGAAACAAGACCTTCACAAGCAAAACATATTTTTAAGCTTGCCTTGCTAACTCTAGACATCTGAGCTTCTGTGAAAGCAGTAACATCTGAACTTCTGTGAAAGCAGTAATTTTAATCAATAGCTCTAAGCTTGAGCACCAAGTTCGAGCAGCAGGGTATGGTTAACTGCATTGGAAGCTGGCCCAACAAATTGAATAGGACCTGCAACCAAAACTCATCAGTTAAAATACTACGTATAACCAGATTTAACAATACTACTTTGGAAGGTTCACATATATAGAATTCATAACCAACCAGGACTAAGATAGTGATTCTTAAGGGCCCACTGCTCCCGCATGGAAGCAAATTTCTTGAATGGTGCACCTGCATAATCGTCACAACAAATAACTTGTGGCTTAGTTTCAAGTTCGTCCAACAAAGTAGCCAGTAGCATAATGATCTAGAATCTTACCTTCCAATTCTACCATTGCCTTCTTGATAACAGGCTTGAATTTACCTGCAAATTATTTCAATGTTAATGCAGTGCTAGAATTACTGAGCAGAAAAATAACAAAAAAGAAACAATTTGACTGTGAGAAGGTCAAGGTAATTTTTGAAGACTATTTGTTGCTTAATTTATAGTAGAGAAAGACTTCCAATGGCTGACCACACTATAGTATGGTGATGTTTTACATTTTACTCGTTAAAAGCAGCTATGCAGATGCCACCAAGTACATGGCATGAAACATTGACAAAGGGTAACAAGAAATGAAAGTTCTATAAGACACAGTTGCCCGATGTGATAAGGTGAAGAGTAACTATACCATGTCTCCTCTCCACGTCCATTAATGATGTCAGAGCAGTCCCTCCAACAGTCCATTCTTCAACCGGGGCACACAAATTTCCTACCTGCAGACATTACAACATGTAAAAACAAAACAAATAGCTCATTAAGTTTAAAAGCACAATTGAACATCAAATATCAACCCAGAAGAATAACAAAAGGACAAGGGTTGGGAGGTGGCAAGAAGGCAGAGAAAGTGAGGAAAACAAACCGATGATATCAACCCAGTTTTTCCACTGTGGAGGAGAGCTCCAGCACCATAGCCCAAGGCATAGCAGTAGCAGGCATCAAAGTCAGTTGGCAAGCCACATCTTCCTTCATATCTGCAAATAACAAATCAGTTAAGGAAAGATGTTGTCGAAATGAAACAAGTTATCGATCCCATAAGAAATAAGCTCTATGGGTCAGGTCAGTCAGTGCTAAGGTTTAAACCTACTTAAACGACCATTTCTTAACAGATATAGCAATAAGTACCCAAAAAAATGAGACTGTCCTTTAAAACGGCCTCTATAAGAGCCCTCCTGCTTCCTCTTCTCCAATTCTGTTTCAACCATTTGAATGAGCATTTTCTCTGTTTCTATTTTGGCAACCTAATAGTAAAAAAGACAGACAAATAAACATTGAAAGCCAACAAATACTTCAGCAAACAAAGATCAGTACAAGAACATTATTACAAAGTAAATACCTGAACATTTCCATGTGGATCTCTTTCAAGCATCAATTGTTCTTGAATTGCTTGAGGTAAGAACTCAAAAAGCTTTCGAGACTGATCAGTAAGTTTCTTTTTCCATAGTCCATTTTCATCAACAATATCATGAGCCAGAATTTCATTCAGTTCAGCAATAAGCTGCTGGACCTGGAAGCACATAAAAGCATACATATCAATCAAGAAGTGGTACATATATGCAGATGTTTGCAAATGGCAAAGCATTAGATTTCCTGATTATGAAACATAATAAGGACATATACAATCTGATAAAATAGACCCAGCTGATGACCAACAGTACCTCAGGAATGAAGTCAATGAGACCTTCAGGAATGAGAATAACACCATAGTTGTAACCAAGTTCAGCACGCTTGCAAATGATATCAACCATGTAGTCTGTGACATTTTTAAGTGTCAGCTTCTTGGCTGCAACCTGCAACAAGATATACTCTGATCAACTTTAAATTTGTAAAGGAAGCTTTTATGAAGGTATCTGCAGAAACTTTACCAACAATTTTATCTTCAAGCAATCAGTAAAAAACCTAACTCAACCTACAGATAGAGAGCATAATTACTAATAAACACAGAAAATGACCTAAAATAATAGAAACATAAACCTTCTTCAAACTTGCAGGGCAACAAGCAATGGAAGTTGTCGGTAAGATAAGAATAGTAGAATCAAATACCTCTTCTCCAATAATGGTAATGTTGGGGTGCGTCTGCAAAGCACACTCCAAAGTAATGTGCGAAGCTGCACGCCCCATGAGCCTTACAACTGTGGAGACAGATGATGTTAAACAGTGTTACCAACATAAATAATAACAGGTGAGCAAGGAAGAGAGAAGTCATCTCTACCCCTAACCATAGTTTGAAAGGTAGACGGGTTTTAGTTGTGCAAATGAACAGATTGATTAAAAAAGTAGTGAAATTTGTGTGCATCACACAAGTATGAACCTTTTTCAAAAGGTTCATGAAATCTGAAATATGAAATCTGAAAGCTTCAAGCACTTACAATGATAATATTTTCCAGTAGATCGTGCATCAATCATGACGTTTCCAATCATTTCAGCATATATCTAAATGGAGGTAACCAAACATGAGTGCGCATCCAACTACAGTGGCATATCAAGTGAAAGCAGTATAAAATGTGAATGCAAATATAGCCTTACCTTGCAAGCAGTATCGAATCCAAAACTTGTTGGAACCTCTTTGCATTTCAAATCACCATCAATGGTTTTTGGGCATCCAATCACTTGAGTTTTCAAATTTTTACCCCTGCTTGAGAAATTGAAGAAACAAAGTCACACCAGCAGAACAAATGGATAAGGTATACTTTACATCAACAGCTACATATCTCAACTATAAAATATTCCTCTAACTATACCTGAAGTTTTCAGCAAGAAGGCATGCATTTGTGTTTGAGTCATCCCCACCAATAACAAGAAGCCCATCCAAATCAAGCTTCATTACTGTTTCTTCAGCTTGCTTAAACTGAAAATAATAGCCACTTTACTCAGCCACTGTTAGTTGATAAAAACTCAATAACTTGCATGAATTATGGAAATAATCTTACCTGCTCAGGAGTTTCAATCTTGTCTCTGCCACTACAGATCATATCAAAGCCACCCTGGTTAAAATAGATAAAGAAATGAAATAAGTTGGGATCTCCGCTTTAGGGGTCAGCGCATATGTTGCACCTATATAGATGCAAAGCTAAAATTAATGTGCATAAGAAAACATAGAATGACTAATATTGGCTATGACATGAACCTATACCATTATGTAGGTGGCGTGACACATTGCCATGCCTTGTTCTTTTATACTGTTCAAACTGTTCCATTATCCGGAAAGAGCAAATTAAGCTGAAGCTACTAATCATATACACACACCGACCATTTACATGTCAAAAATGTAGAAATTTCAAGCTTATAATAATCAAAATCCCCAACGGCAATAGTTACTACCAAACACTATGCATATCTAGTCACGCAGCGTTCAAGTACAACAGGAACATGCTAATTGTTAAGGCTTCATTTGGTTACTTGTTCTTTTACTTCCTAAGATTTTGCTGTAAAGCCACTTAAAAACAAGACTCACTTTCATTTCTATAAAAACTAGCAAACGATACCTGATTTCTGTAAGGGTAAATATAATCTGCAGTCAATTCTACGTATTTGCATTTCATGATCCCAGCAGGACCTCCCCTAAATCCATACAGAATGCTACCTTTCGCGCGATCCTGCAAGTAATCTATCATCCCAAAGAGAAAAAAGATGACATTTTACTTCCACTATCACAAATATCATTATTCTAGAAACACATGCAAGGTTATTGAAACATGTCATCGAGACAAAGGACTAACCAAATATTCCAGAAATCACATTGTGACCTCCAGGTGCCTGTCCTCCAGACAAAACGACGCCGATCTTCAGCTTCTGATCAGATCGGATACTATCAGCTCCGTTAGGCACCAACATTACCGATGGTTGGCCGAACAGATTTGGAAACAGCTTTGCAATCTCATCTGCCAAAGAAAAAAAAAACCAAATCTTTACATTAAAAAACCTAAACCTTTTCTTTTAATTAAAATAACAGAAAACTTTCAGTTCAGTGAACAGAGCCAAAGACTACTGCTTTACTTGCACGAAGATCTAGATAAATAAGAGATTGGATCGAAAATGAAAAAGAAAAAAAAGAGAAGTAAAGAAAGAAGAGGGAAGAACCAGGGTTGCCGGCGGCGGAGCTAGGTGGCCCATCGACGATTTTGAAGGGATTTCTAAAAACAGAAGGGAGAGGAAGAGAGTGGTCGATACGACTCGTTTGAACTTCACTGTAAACAGAGGCAACACGTCCGGCCACTGGAGCCGTTATAACGGCGGCGACATCGCCATTTGTGACCAAAGAAGGAGACATATCTTTTACTAGTGTTTGACTTGGTTGTTATACCAAACTCACTCTTTTCAGTTGCCAGACGACTCGCTAACCGACTCCGAGCGTGAATCTATTAGATTCATCGACAGCTAGCTGGCACGGTCGGTTTTAAGTGGAACTAGAAGGGTAATAATGTCTTCTTAGGTTGTTTATAAACCGGGCTTGGGAGACTCCGCCCCAGAAACGTATCTGTTTGCCGATTGAAATCCATGGTATTTTGGGGATTTAACGTGCAAAACGACAATGAGGAACGCAGTTTCGTGGTCCAGTAGACGGTGGCAGGCGGTAAGTCAGAGCAAAGTGGAGATAAGCATGAGTGCTTTCGTGGATTTGGTTTTGTCCTTACTTAACCTTCCCTTTGGTTGGTGGGAAAGCTCAAAGGCATATTCTCATATTCCACGTATCTTCATTATTATTTTAGTGGTAATAATAACTTGTTTAATTTAGGGCCCAACAGATTGGGCCTAATCTACTCTAAAGAATGGTTGAGCTTGGTGACCTGGTTAAGATCTGATCTAAAAGCGAGATTTGGGCTCTTCGGAATCAGTCCAAAACCCACTGCTAAAGCTCGTTCCCTCGCTCCCACAGAACCCAAAAAGATATCGATTTTGCTTAAGATGTCTATTAGTTCTTATCCAAATAGGTTAAAAGATATCACCCAGATATCTGTAAGACATGGTTTTAATAATCTATAACTAGTTTCAGCGCCTGTCTTGAAACTCAATGGTGAGTGCAATTCTACAATTGACCTATAGGAACTAAGATTCGTCTTAACTCAAGAATGAGTGGTGTCAGTAATGAAGATAGCATCTTTGATTAGAAGAACAGTACTAAATAATGGATCAACTGAAATGATCATTAATTGAACTTGACATGTTCGTCATATATTTTAGGAGTAGATCTGATTTGTAAAGCAATCTCGGTGCATGCCAGGTCGACACTACTGCAGGAAATATTACTAGAATGCTTTGCTGTTTTCAGATGGATGGCGACAGCATGCACAACCTTAGAATGATAGTAATCAAAACACAAATATTCCTAATAGTTTAGCCGCACCAAATCATAGATGTAATCATACTTTGTCAGAAAAAACAGGAAATACACAAATATCTGCCCCAAGACCCAGACACCGAAATACCATGCTACTCATGACAAACTGGAACCAGAAATGTCCCCAAGTGCTCAAATCTGGAAAGTTTAAAGAACTCACTTGAAGATCAAACGTGCTGCCGCACTTTTCTGTCCTTGCCAGGCGCCCTTCTACACCGTGAAGTCTGCAAAAGCCATAATTTTGGTGAACATCCCGATTCATTAATTCTTTGCTTTTACCCGTTCTCTGATTTCTCAAAAGAACCCAAGAATGTTAGGAACACCCTGTCTTTTGATTACGCGGACTTGGGCTTAACTTTTTAGGTTTTATTAGCAGATGATCATCATAGTTACATGTGCTGCCATTGTGAACAACTTGGAATACTTCTAAGTACCATATTAAATTATTAGTTAATGTTTTGGAATACTCTATTTTCCTTGATAAATTTCTAGTTGGTCAGTAATTCATGATACACATAAATGATTATCACATGCTAAACTTAAGAGTGTTTTAATAGTAACTCTTACCCCTTTCCTATTATTATTATTATTATTATTATTATTATTATTATTATTATTATTTCTGTTTGTCTTCTTATCTCCCTCTCTATGTCCAAAACATAAAGATAATCCATAAAAGAGATTCCATCCAGCTATGCAAAACTTTGTCCGATTTTCTCCATAATTCAATCAGGCAACTGGTAGGCATTTGAAGAATGCTTGTTAGGCTCTAAAACAAGATAAAGGAAAATGCAATTACAAGAAATTCAGATCAGTTCATCTAATCATATGCAACCTAAAAGAAGAGTTGGAATAAAAGTAGCTAAGAACAAGTGGAAAGCAAAGAACGTGCTTTGTTCTTAGAACAACCTTCTTTAATATTTACCCGGACCCGTTCATGGGGCAGTTCTTTCGTTTTCTATCACAATTAACTATTTTTAGATCGCGGTAGTTGATCAGAAACTTTTTGCTAGCAGACTGTTGCATCGTTATAGTTTTTAACTGACATGTTTGCTGTAGTTCCTCTGTCGTAATTTAGTAGCTGCATCTTGGTCATCTTCAACTTCTAATTTAGCAAGTGCATCAATTGCTAGGTTTTGCCCTTTTGATTTGGAAGGTTTTCTTGTGAATTCAAATATGAGGCTAAGTTTTTACAAAATCGGCGGATGCTACTTAGTTTAATGGAGAATTCCTTTGGAATCCGCTTCAAATTTATGATTAACTCTTCTCTAAGGATAGCAGCAGCAGCAGCAGCAGCTATTGGCTATTTAAAGTTCATTTTTTTTTTTCCTGAAATTAGTACTCACTAACCCTGATTCCAACAAGTCATGTGAAACCAACCAAAACTTTTCTTTTGGGCTATTTGTCTTTAATTCTTGAGCTAGTAGCCTTAACTTAGAAAACAAAGGAACAATCTAAAGGCTTCATGTACCCCGTCATTCCATTTCAACAAAACTTTTAATAACTAAGCCACCTAACACTACCTATAAAGGATAGTAGCACTATTAAAGATGTAGCAGTCCACATCATGATTTCAAGCTGAATTAAACAATACAAATGTTCCCCAATTGCCTTCCAATCTAAACCTTCCAACGACCCCTAATCTTTTACGTATTCATTGTCTCAAACTCAAGACACAATCATACTTAAAGTAACCCACTTGCCTATTTGAGCATAAATGATTATTTTGGCACAAAATTTCCTTCAAAGATTCATGTCCATGCTTGAAGATGAAAGCCTCTAAAGAACACAAGAACCAGAGGCTTCAACTGAGAGGATGCAGGGCTTTGTGTTGCAATTGCAGGCTTAGTGTCTCTTCTTCGGAGGAAGCAGAAAGCTTCAATTCTGATAGGTTTGCATCGATTTCAAGCCTAGCACACGCCATGGTTCAAGAGAGGCTAGACCAGATGATTAGAGAAAGGCAGGAAACGGGGCATATAGAGAGAAGGCGGCAAAGAAGTGAAGGGACTAAATTTGTTGTTATGGTAGCCATGGAAAAGTGCTCTTACGATCCAAGAGAAGATTTTAGAGAGTCTATGGTTGAGATGATTATGGTGAACCGGATTCAAGAGCCCAAGGACCTACGCAGCCTCTTAAATTATTATGTATCAATGAATTCTGAGGAGTATCATGGGATTATACTAGCAGTTTTCCATGAGGTTTGCACTAATTTGTTTTTATGTTGTCAACGCCATTGAAAAACAATGTGATATTTTTTCCTAGTATACTGGTGTAGCAGTCTTGAACAAGAATGAGCAATTTATAGTGCATCCATGGGAGGACTATTCAGCTGGGGTCTTTCTGTGACTCTGGGCTAAATAACTAAATTAAATAAAATCGTCAATAAGTTAGCATGTTAGCTGTGCCCTTGACCATAATATGTGAGCCTGAGCATTGAAGCACTAATGAAAAGCTTTTAATAGGGGATAAATTTTGATCCTTCAGAAAGATTGCTCTGTTCTCTTTCCAGTTATTGCGAAAGTCTAAAATTCACTGTTTCTGATCGGTATAAGGACAATAAGAAAACCAAAATCATCTATGTCGAAATGGGAAAAAGCCCCTTTTATTTGTGGCAAAAGAAATTCAATGTGATATGTTGCATGATTAATTGAACCTAAACTTACAAGTGTCTCAACCTTCAAAGAATAACGATGAATTTGGGTATTGATTTTTGAAGCATCACGGCAAGGCGCATGGTGAAGGAATTGCCATTTTTCTATCCTTGTTTTCATCAGATGGGGTCAAAGGCAGTAAAAAATAAAGATGTATGCTCTTTTTGTTGTGTAAACAGGAGACATGCTAGATTGGGTTAATGATGGATAGTGCAGCATGGGTTCCTGTTCATTCGATTGCTTTCGTGGCATGACGGATAGGCTCCTTAATATAATTCAACCTTTTTTTTTTTATTTTTTGGTTAAACAAATTCGATTGCAATGTGCAGTCAGGTTATGTCAGTCCTTATGATAGTTGTTAAAGTGGTATTATTTACATTCAGGTTGGACTTTTTCATTTATTTTTAATTTATTTTAAATTGATATTTAATATGATGTTAAAATTAAAATTTTTTTATATTATTTTTTTTTTATATCTGTCACGTGAGTTTTTTCCATCTTTGCATGCATAAGATGGCTTTTTATTCAAGATGGATGCTTAACAATACTATGTTGACCTAATCATTTCAGACCATAAATAAGGCCTAACTTTGGCAATATCATTTGAAAAATAAAAAATCTGAACGCATGCTTGTAGAAAATGCAGGTAGAAATAGTTGAAATCAAGTTTATATTCCCCTGTTCTCAATCAGTACTTGAGTCAGAAATCTTGAATGTATCTGTCAATCTTTTTTATACAACTTATACTTAAAATGATCTCGATGAGAGTTATCATATATATAATAGACAAACACACATAGAAATTAACAAAGTTTAGATAGTTTATGTGATTCGAAAAAATATAAAAAAGAATTCCACCCAAAATACAAAGGTAGAGCGGCTATTAGGAGTTCCCAAAAGTGAAACTTAATCAATCTTTTTTACTCTTAAACGGGACTAAATCCCAGTTTCCAGGTAGAATCGTCTTCATGAAGTCAAATATACTTTTGATAGCAGCATTAGTGTACTCATAATAAAGATGGAACTGAAACAACGCAAACACACATATAGGAAGGAATGCAGCGGCATATGTGAGAGATGTAGTCCACTTTTTCTCCAAATGAATAAGGAGCAAAATTGTAGCGGTGAATGTAAGCATGGTCGTTGTCACGGAGAAGAAGAGAAAGATGAAACCAAGTGAAAGGTATCGAGGGAGAGTACGATGAAACTCATCAATCTCAAGGGAAGATGTGAGGATTGAAAGAAAGATCACCACCGAGGTCAAGGAGCTTGCAAGGCCTGCAACGTCCATGACAGTGAAAAAAGAATAGAGAGGTCTTTCCAGGAGAAGGGGTTTGCCACTTGCTGTAGAATTAGATCACATAATTGATGCATATTTTTAGGAATGACTCTTTAAAGAAGAAAATAAATTGAGTAATAAAATGTAGTACTTTACCAAGGTAACCTCCTGGTGCGGTGTATGCGGCTGCGAAGACAACAGTAGCAACAAGAGTTGCGACAGTTGAGCATGATTGAGAGGTGTTCTTCACCCATTTTTGTGCAGCTCGATGTTGGTCTTCATGCTGCTTGTTGAAAAACTGCTTTGCTGTGAGATTCTTCTTGTTGCGGTGCATGGTATAATATGGAGGAAGTTTATGTTTCACATCCTGCATATATATATGTACACACACACACACACACACAAGCAACAGCAAAATCATTCTTTAAGGAAATAATGGATTTGGATAATCATGTAATTCTCTTGCTAGCTAGTTCAAATCTTGCTTAAGTATTAAAGAAGGCTAGGTGGGACATGGCTGACCTTGAACCATTTCAACTCCTCTTGCAGTTGAGAGCAGCGGTAGTGCTGGTTCCATCAGTAAAATATCTCATCTCAGCAGTACAATGCAATATGGTACAGCCATCGTTGTCAATCCCCAAAAGCAACCTGTCACTTGGCTTCTTAGTCACAAGATCAAATATCTTGTGTTGCCGATGCATAATAGCGAAATGCAATATGTTTTGTCCATTCTGATTAATGTGTTCCAACGCTTGAGGGTACACCTCGAGTATCTCCTCGACAATCTCCAGGATTCCTGTCCTAGCTGCTATAAGCAGCGGGGAATCAGGTAATCTACTCCTCTTTGCTGAGGTAGCGTCTGTCTCCATTTCTTCTTCCTCTCTGTCTAAGCAAATTAAGTTGTTCTCCTCTGTTTCATGGGGCACTAACCATGAAGCATCCCTCCTCACCAGCATCTCCATCAGTTTAACCGCTGATGTATTCATTTTTTTTTGGATCCGTATCTCCGTAATGGTTTTCCATCCTATCCATATATATTATCGTGCATGCAAATTCATCGTCATCACCTTCAGCGAATTTTATAAAAGAAAAAGTTTGGAAAACAAACATTAAAAAGAGAAAATATATCAATCGCACCTTTAGCGAGACATCTCCAAAAACGGCGGCACATTCTCATCTTGAAACCTGTTGTGATTGGAAATTAATATCGCGGTATAAATATAATGAAACACAAAGTAGGAATAGGCTTTGGAAACTTGGTATTTATCCATTTATTACATGCAGAGAGCTGCTTTAATTCAGGGGGTCTTTTGCTTGGCTGGCCACGTTCCAAATCTATGCTCTGACTCGATGAAATCAGCTGATCAAATTCATCATCATCATCACCTAAATTGATTGGAAGGTCTGCAAATTCAAGTGCAATCTAAATCAGTACCAACGACAAAAACATTGAAAATTGACATGAGTTGAGAATGTTCATGTTTGGTGTATAATATATATATATATATATATATTTAAAATTAGAAGACATACAGGTGTAGATGAATTGCTTAAAAAGTTCATGCGACTAGTACTCCTGAATGCAGTTGGCATGCTGGCGAGCAGGTGAAGACATGTCTTCCCATCCTTCTCTCGCTTGTATGTTGCTAGTTTTGGATCTTTGTTCAATAACCATATAGCTGTCTCTGCATTGATGTAAAGCCAAATAAAACTGTTGAGACTGCGCTTAAGATCGTCACGGGAAAGGATTAGATCTAAGCACAAGTCTGGAGACATCCTTTGTCGTATTATAAGAAAAAAAAAAGCAAAGATTTAACTGTACGAATCTGTTAGTATTTTGATTTTAATCAGTCCTCACCACATGAATTAATTCATTTTCTCAAGCATGCTATAATTAATGTATAAGAAATTAAGATTGAAATACCAAAATTTAGGAAGATGACAGCAATATGAAGAATGGAGACTCCATCATTTCTTTTGAAGTGATCATGAAGAGTTCCCACTTCTTCAATTTTTTGTGCAAAATACAGAACCATGTTTGTGGTGCCAAACGCTGCGGCCCTGTACAGAGGAGTTTCGCCAAAATTGTTTCGATCTGCTAATATCTCTTCCCGTTCACGGATATCTTTCTCATGAATAATGCTCGAGCCATCAGGCAACAACAGCGTTCTAACCAAGAAATGTGCTGCTTTAACATTTTTAGAGGCGGCCACCTCATGCAGAATTGTGTTCCCATGAATGTTCTTCACCTTTAACACATCACGTTTCCTGGATGGCGGCACCATTTCAAGCAGAACCTCAAGCATTTCTTGGCTTCCTCTGTAAGCTGCAATGTGGAACACGGTATCTTTACTAGCCGTAATAGGACTGAACAATGCATCATCAGGTTTGAATTTGTAGAAGTTTTTTAGAGATGGGGCGTCATCTTTCAGGGCTTTTTCATATGGCTCTCTTATCCCTTCAATGATAGTATTATCCATCTGTCCCTGGATATCTATTTCTTTTTCCATATCTCTCTAGCTAACTCTTGATGGGGTTGGTAAAGGGTAGTGTGAAGCCTGGTTTTATAGATTGCTCTTACTTGGAAGATAGCATAGCATGGCATAGAAATGGTATCTTCACTTGCTTAATCAATTAACAAAGTTTAAACCTCAAAAAGAAAAAGTTGAACCATTCGTAAGAATGTAGTAAAGTGCAGAAACACAACAGGCTTCCAAGTCGCAGATGCTCTAATGCTAGAAAGTAGAAATCCCCAAGGTCCCAAGCTAATCTTCTCGGGCGCAATTCCTCAATTTTCAGCTTATTGTCTGATATTTATTATGCCTGGGAAATAAGCTGAATGGAGCAAGTACATCATTCATTCTCTTCCCTCGCAAAATGAGATTATTCCTTCCTTTTAAATATTCCCACCTAGCTGGCAGCTGATAGCGTGAAGGGGAAAATGAAAAAGAAGAAAATGTGAAGTAGCCCAATGCTTGGTATGCGATCAACTGCAAAAGATATAGGTTCTGACATTCCATTATTAAATTGTAAGTATTCTATTTATATAATTATCTATTTATAATATAAATGTTGCTTATGACTCCATTAAATCTGGTTATTGGTGTCATTATATCATATTTTATTTTAGATATAATTTTAGATATGATATGAGTAATTTTGATATAAATATGATCCAAATATTTATATGATATGATTAACTTAAATATAAATATGACACATTTATTATACGTATTGTACGTAATATGACACATTTATTATATTTAATATTAATTTATATTCAAATAATTCGATATGACACGACTAATACAATTATATATGAATAACATGATTAGATATGATTAATTATCTAAATAATACGACATGATACGATACGATTTATATAATTATATATGAATAATATAATTAGACATGATTAATTTATTTATTTAAATAAAAATTATTTAAAAATTAAATATTAATAATCTATTTAAACATCAAAATAATATGATAAATATGATTATTAATTTATTTTTTAAATAAATTAAAATAATTTTTATTTTTGATATTATAAACTATCGTATTTTAAACGTGTTATTATTATTTAACACGAACATGATATAAAAAATTTCATGTCTTAATCGTGTCGATATGATTAAAATATCAAACATGATTACAATAAATTTATATATGATTTTTTTTCATATTATTTTTGTATCATGTCATTTTATTATATTTAAAATTATTATATTTAATTGTGGTTAAGTGTTTTATTTTTTTATTTTTTAAAATTTATTTATTTATTTTATTATTAAACTGATGTTATTTCTTGCCATTATTTTTTTCGTGAGGACTCACTTTTTTATTTAGTTTTCTTTTTCTTTTTTTTATATTTTATATTTTTTAATTTTTTAATTTTTTAAATATATAATATCATGAGATTAATTTTTTACAGCCCCTTATTTATGAATGATATGACTTTTTTTTTATCTTGATAAGTTTTTTGACCATTTTTTTATATTTTATATTTTTGAAACTTTATATATATTTATTATTTAAAAAATATTTTTTGTGAGACCTATTATTTCTTTTTTTCATAGGATTTATTTTTTTGAGTTTTTTTTTTAAATTTTTATATATATTTTATATTTTTCTTGAATGGGTACTATGATTTTTTTTTTTTATAAATCCACTATGATTGCTTCTTTTTTGCTTGTTAGGGCTGAAAATTAATGGGGCTGTTGGATGGATTTTTTTTTCTATTGATTTATTGATGCTGTATTGTTTCCTAATTGTATGTGTTATTGCCTTCATTCTCCCTACTGCTCTTTTTTTGGCTCTGACAGATTGATTCTTTATATAAGAATTTAATCCCTTTTGATTTGGAAAATTTGGAATTCTACTGAATTTAGGATTTGTATGATTTGATTTTATGCAATTTAATTTCCCATGATTTTCCTTTTTCACAAAGATTAAGATCCAAATTGTTCAAAAAAATCCTTCAAATCTAAGGTACAATCACTTAAAATTAAATGAAATCCTAAGCTAATCAATGGAAAGAAAATTTTCTTTTTTTGTCCTTTTTTTTTTACTTTGTTAACTTTGACTAAAATTAAAATTAAAATTAAAATTAAAAACAAAAAATCAAAAATAGAAATTAAAAATTAAAAAATAAAAAATTAAAAATAAAAATTAAAAGCAAAATCAAAATTAAAATTAGATTAAAAATTTTAGGCTTTTAATCATTAGGTCCAAAGTTTCGTATTAAGGCGCCAATTTGTAAATGAAGCCTATTTTATTATTAAAAAATTCTTTGGATAAAATGAGATATCTACAGTTATCCCTTTTTGTGCATTTTCTGTGAAATAAGAATTGTAAAAAGACAAAAAAACACCCATGTTGTTTGGGTCAAGAAAAATGAAAAAAGAGAATTGGAAAGACTCATCATTGACAGAAGTTTAAAACTTTTTTTTAAATAAAATGTTCCTTCACAACTGAGGCTTTGAAATTTTTTGAAAAATAAAATGATCTGCTACAATTGGGGCTTGGAAACTTTTGAAAAATGAAACAATCCTTCACAATTGAAGCTTTGGAACTTTTGGGAAAATAAAATGCTCCCCTATGACTGAGGCTCTGAAACTTTTTTGAAAAATAAAATGTTCCCTACAATTGAGGTTTTAGAACTTTGAAAAATAAAATGCTCCCCTACTTCCCTATAATTGAGGCTTTGGAATTTTAAAAAATAAAATACTCTACAACTGAGACTTTGAAACTTTTTGAAAAATAAAATTAGATCATTCTTACCTTTGGAAAAGCTCATCTCTGATAGAGACATTGAGACTTTAAAAACTTTTACCTTAAATTAAGTCTTTGCATCTTATCTGAATCATCATTGATTGCCTTTCAATGTCTCTTTCAAAAAATTTCAACATTAGCTTGCCTTTTTACTTTCCAAATGTATGCAATGAATGTAGACAATGAATGAAAAGATTTTCAAGATTCACTTCAATTTCATAATTCAATCCTTAATTATCTTATCTTTTGCAAACATGCATGATGAATAGAATGCATACAATGTTCTTAATGTGATGCATGTAATGCATATGAAAAAATACAATGCATGCCATGCAATCCATTTATCTTCTCAATTGTGGTAAATTGAGGGTTCTTAAAGCTCTTGATTTATTTTTTTATTTTTTTAACTTTTCAACATTGTGACTTTTAACATGAGCTATCATACCCTATCAAGGAATCTCATTGAAATTATCATCCTAGTGCAAAGATTTCTTATGAGTTACCTTGCACTATCCATATAGACATCATGCATTATTAAGTAATCTCATCCACTTTATCATCCCAATTCAAAGATTTCTCATCAACATAGGTCATCATGCATGATCCTCATGGACATTATGTACTATCAAAAATCTTATCCACTTTATTATCCACATTCAA